ATGGTGAAACAAAAAGAAAAATTCCGTCGATCGGAGAGCAGCTGACCTGGGTTCCATTACTTCTGGAGCGAATCCAAATGTTTCCGGCCCCCGGGACCCGTTGAGATAACGCTCACGATCGCGCCCATCGCGCCTATCGCGCCTGCCATCGCCGCGCGGCTCCCGTCCCCGCCGAGCCTGCCAAGGGCCCATCGCCGAACTACTCTACGGCCCGAATTTGGCATTGGTATCGGATCGAGTCGCCCCCAGGAAATTTTGCCAGCCAGCCGGCCACCGCAGTCCGCGACCTTTGACTCGTAGTGAAGTTGGGAGACGAATTAGCACCACACACAAAAGGGAAAGGTATTATTTTGTCCGAATGGTTTTAAAAGAGCACAAATTCAATAATTCCTCCGAAAAAGTGTTCACAGTATTTCCCGAGCGAATAATGACGTGTGCGAAATCAAGGCTTCTTTCTTGGGACGAAATTCTCTTCCTGACCGGCATCTCCCGAAGGTCGACCTATCCCTTCCCCGATCACGGCCAAACAAGCGTGCCTCATTCGCAGAAAAGTCTCGCGATGGTAGCGGTAACCTCCGGCGCAGCTGCCGGCCGATCCCGGCCGGCCGTACGACCTCGCGCTTCAGCGACCTCATCCACCCGCAATGTCGCCGTGCCCTGCGTGGCGCCCCCCGGGCCCCACAACAATGGCGGGCGGAGGTCCCCTGCGGGCCCCTCTCCAGAGGGTCCCCTGCTGTTGGCAGGCGGCCAGGGCCCGGCCCAGCGCGACACCGAACCAGATCAGGAGCCAGACGACATCCTCCTCCTGTTCTGCGCGCGCTGCGGATCCGGTGAATTGGGCGCTGCCGCTGCTGTTGCTGCTGGCGGTGGTGCTGCTGGTCTGGCGGGGGCGCTGCTCTCGGTGCTCGGGCGAGGGCGACACCCGGGACGACCTTTCGCGCGCACCACCACCACCACCGCCCCGCAGCAATGCAACGCATAGAGCAGGACCAGCGCGCGCCGCCCGGCGAATTAACGTTTATTACATTTGCACACATGAATGAAGGGAATGGCACGCCGGTGCAGAGCCGCGCGCCGGTGAATGGCGAGGGGTCGGGTTGCGCGCTGCGGGGCGACGCGACGCCGAGGGGACGCGACGCGACGCTCTCAGCTCTCAGGGGGGAATGGCGCCCACTCCGAGTAATTTGGAGCGACACCCCGAGGCGCCACGGCCGCTTCTTGGAAGTGGCGATGTACTGTATACTCCGCAGCACACACTGCAAGCAGCAGCAGTCCTCCCAAAGGATCAGCAGGGCCCCAGTTGGCAGCGCGGAGCGCCGCGCCGTGCCACGCCACGCCAGCCGAGGAGCCACAAGGAGCAAGTGGAAAGGTATTTGACTACAACTTCTCGTGGAACTCAATAGGTCCTTAAACGCGCGTGTACACCCGGCGACACATTCAGAGAAGCAAAGGCTTCGCCAAGTGAGCGAGGTGGGGCGGGGCGGGGCACGGCGCAGGGCCCGGTATACGCCTGCCCGGGGTACCACGGCCATGCGTCACGACACATTCTTTCCTGCCCCGCTGCGCAAGGCTCGTCGGACCCGAGACTTCTTTTTGAGCCGCGTCAAACACGGCCACTCGCGTCCACTACGGCGCGCAAAGAATGGGCATCGTGTCGGATTGCAGGACAGCTTTTAACACACCTCCTTCTCCTTCTCCTCCTCGTCCCTCTTGTTCCTCTGAAGCGTCGAACAGCCGCCCTTGAAGAGGGAGGGGAAGGGGATAGGGGGGCTCAATAACGGGCTGAACGGTCGATAATTACAGATCCGCTTATTCGCAGTCGGCTCGGTCCATTCGTGTAACGACTGTATTGGCAGCTCGAGGAAGAATTGCCCAAAACGGCACCGAGCCCCCCTGGAGAGCAAAGCGGCGGGGGAGGGGGGCGCACTCGCACTGATCGAGGCGATCAGTATGCTTCATTGTCGAGAGTAGTATGCAAGGATAGGCAAACCCGCCCGCTTTCGTACATGCGGTACAGTATAACAACGAAAGTGCGCGGCGTGAGTCAGCCACCTGGTATACTGTTCCGAATGCACCCGTGCGGGCCAGTTGCCTATCTTCGCGGAGTTAGGATCCATGTCAGAGACGATACGCACAGGATGGCCTCGGGATGGCCCATCGGCACCGTTCTTTCTTCAGATATTACATAATAGTTTCTGAACAGGAATGATCACACCTGGAAATCTGCACAGTAACAGGGTGGTTGTAAGTGTAGGCCCCTCATGTAAGGAACTATTTTCAAAAAATAAAAGAGTTATATTTCCAACGGTAAATGCGCCTTTACAATCATACAGACGTCAAAGAAGGCTCTCCAAGCCAAATTAAACCTTTTTTGAGTGCGGTGAAGTCTCAATTGAAAAGTGGCCACATACGCGATGGCCCGGCCCCGCCGCCCAAGCGCCCCCACCCCCCGCGGCCGGCGCGCTTTACGAGTCGCCCCGCTGCGCCGCGCCGGCTCGGCTGGTATGGTGTGAAGGCGGTCGATTCTAATCACTCGCCGACAGAATTTAATCACTATAAATCGCGTGCGCACGCGTGATCTGGATGCGCGCGGAGCCGCCGCCCGTCCCATCCTCCCCCGCCAGCCGTAGAGAGTCGCCCCGGCCGGGCCTTGGCCCCCGGCGCGCCGCCGGTATTTGGACAGATCCGCATATTTATTATGATTCTTATAATGGTAATGACTTACAACAGACGGCATCTGCGACGCGGCAGTGTGTTGTGTGGACTGGTTGGTAAGGGTTTCATAGAGTCCATCCCCCCGGGCCGCCCCGCCCGGCCGCGCCCGGCCCCGCCCGCCATTCTGAGGGTGTTTGGGCCACGTGTGCGGGTCGCAGCACAGCGGAGTCGCGTGGTGGTCATCAAAGCTGTCAGCGATCACTTGGCCCTCACAATGGCGGGCTATTCAGAACAAACCACATCCAATGGGTAGCCGTCCGGGCCGCCACGCCCCGCCACGCCCGCCAGTCGAGCGGAAAGCAAAAGCAACACACGGTGGCGGGGGTGCTGTGTGTGTGTGTGAGAGAGAGAGAGAGAGAGAGAGAGAGAGAGAGAGAGAGAGAGAGAGAGAGAGAGAACGCGCATCTGTGTGTGCGTGTGTACGGGTGAGCAGAGAAATGCAACCGACACTCCAAAGTGTCAAAAGTTTTCAAGGGGTGGTGGTGCGCGTGTGTGGCCACGGGGGCCCTTTGTCCTTCCTTGAGGAGCCCCGGCCGGAGACGGCCCAGTGACTCGGCATCATCTCACTCGTCGTCCCCAGGACGCGACGCGACGCACCCCCGAAGTGAAGCCGGGCCGCGCGTCGCGTGCGGGGCTGAACCAGAGGCTGTGCCGGAGGCTGGACCTGCCGCTGGCGATGCGAAGGGAAGGCTCAATGGATTTGCATCAGCCGCCCACAAGCGCGTCAGGTCGGGCATAACTCAGGCGGGAGCTTGACGCTCGGCGCGGCCAGCGCGGCCCTGCTCGGCCCTGCCGGGGCCTGCCCTGCCCGGTGCGGACAGGCTCCGTTAGTGGGCACTGACAGGCTCACTGGCAGGTGTCCGACGCCTGGAACGTGAACTCTGAACCTCGCTAAACCCATTCCGCTGACGGAGCCGCTCTGCGGAGCCTCTGGAGCGGGCCGGGCCCGACCCCCGCTGTCCGCCCGCTGGAGCGCTGGAGCAGCGCCGGAGCGTTGGTGGGGCCGCGCCGAGCTGTAGGGGATGACCGGGGAAAGTGTAGCGTAGTCGGGGGCGGGGG